GTCCACCAGTGTTTGTTGCATCTATAGTATTTATAATTGTTATATCTTCTTGGTGGTTTGATCCTTTTATCAATATTTAGCGGTAGCCTTCTTTGTTTCTTCTAAGTTTGTCTTGAAATTTGCTTTGTCTGATATGAATACAGCTATTCCTGATTGCTTTTGGAATCCATTATCAAATATTGTTTTCCATATTCTTTCATTCTTCAGTATGTGTATATCTTTGCTAGTGGAATGTGTTTCTTATAGGCAGCAAAGAGTTGGATTTTGTTTTTCAATACAGTCTTCCAGTCTTTGTCTTTTTTTTTGGTACCAGGGATCGAACGTTGGTCCTTGCGTTTGTGAGGCAGGTGGCGAACCACTGAGCTAAATCCCCGGCCCCAGTCTTTGTCTTTTGATTGGAGAATTAAGACCATTTCCTCTCAGAATTATTATAGAAAGGCATGTATTAATTCCTGTCACTTTGTTGTTTTTTTAAGAAATGTTTGAGCCTTTCATAATTCTCAATAGTTTATCTACTCTTCTGTTTGCAGGGTTTCTTTAAGTATTTCTGCAGTGCTGGCTTAGTGGTCATGAATTTCTTTATGCTTATCTTGGAATGTCTTTATTTCTCCTTCATAGGAAGAATGGCTTTGCTGGATATAGTCATGAAGGTTGGCAATTATTTTCTGTCCTGGGCTTCAGGGTGTCTGCAAGAACGTCTGCAGGTATTCTGATTGGTTTTCCTCTGTAAGTGACCTGGGATGTTCTCTTACGCCTTTCAATATTCTTCCCTTGTTCTGTGCTCTTACCGTTTTAACTATAATATATCACAGGGAGGATCTTTTCTGGTTGTTTCTGTGTGTTTGAAGTGCACCCTGTACCTGGAAGTCCTTATCTTTCCCAATATTTGAGAAGGTTTCTGTTATTATTTCATTAAATAGATTTTTTTTTGTGCCGTTAGTTTGAAGCTTGGGATCCTCCTACTCCAAAATTTTCAAGGATGGTGTGTTGGGAACCCCTGAAATGTTACCAGAAACCTCTGCAGTAGGCTCCAGTCTCCTGCCCAATCTATGACACAAGCCTGAAAAAAACCTAAAAGGCAGAACTAAGAGGGACAGAAGGTAGGGAGCAAGGACGGCCAATGCTACTTTAGCAAAAGGTGCTGGTCCATCCATGCCACTGATTTTTATTAGTGATTTTTATCAATTGGGGTAAAGGCGAGCTATGCATGAGGATGGGACTACATGTGAGGATGCACAATCCTGCAGTGTTTATGAAAATTGATGGAGATAAAGCTCGTAAAGGAAGCATTCTTGAATTAGGAACAGAATAGACAAAGTATATGGTTATAATTAGAACATTGTCCTTCTAGTTAAGAAAGTTTTAATTGTGGGAATGGAATTTGGATGTGAGTTACTCCAACCTCACCACATAGGCTTCCACTAGACTTGCTTCTCAAAACAAGCCAGTTGGGGGTCAACTCTTCTCGGCCTGCACTGCTTACAGCCTGTTTGGGGCATAATCAATATTGCAGTCTCCTGCAAAGGTCTTTTATCCAGAGTTCTTGGATGTTTTGTTCATAATTTTGACCTTCTTCTAAGTATAAGACTATGATAATTCTTTGACTTTAGCTTCAGTCTCTGAAATTTTGTCTTCTACTTGACCCTTCTATTGGTGAGGCATCCATTGAGCTTTTGATGTATTTTGTTTTCCAACATGTCCGTTTGGTTCTTCAGAATCTATCTCTCTCTCTCCCCCCTCTCTCTCTCTCCCTCTGTCTCCCTCTCTCCCTCTCTCTCTCTCTCTGTGTGTTTAATTGCTTCTTCATACCCTGAATTATCTTTCTTAGTTTATTCAGCTCTTTATTTGCATCTTCTCCAAAGTCATTAATCATTTTACAAATCAATCTTTTGATTTCTTTGTTGGGCACTTTATCCATGTCACTTCTATTCTGTTACTGGTGGGTCAGGGACCTTTGAGGAGTAGTTTTGCCTTGTTCTTGTGAAGGTACAGCTTGTAGTACCTGTGCTGCCAGCCACAATGTGTCCCCTTTGGCTTTGGCCCTCCCTGGGTTCACCCTGTGCTTGGCGTCAGGATTCCCTGCCTCCAGAACTGGGTTGGGCATTGTGGACTGGTTCATTCCTTTCTCTGTGTGGCCTTTCTGTTTCTCCATGAATTTTAGCTTTTCTGTTGGGTCTTTCTTGAAACCTGGAGTAGTTCTTCTCTTTTCCCTCACTGAGTAGCTGTTTTCTAGCTGTGTTGATTACAGGTCTCAGAGGGACTGATAATGCTGCCTGCTTCTACCCTACCACATTCAAGTTACCAGTTTCTGTTTTTAATGAGAGGTTTCTTTAAATATTTAAGATGGACTAAAATGTAGCTGGAAAACCGCATGAGAAGGCGGGGCTTGTTACTCCATTCCTTGACAGTTTTGGGGGGGATCAGTGATGTCAGTACCTTTGGTTGCACCTTGATTCTGTCAGATTCCATGGAAAAGCCTCTTCCATTGGCTGACAGAAGAGCCTAACCCTAGAGAGAAGGCTGGGAGGAAAAGGTGGTGGACCTGAAGCTTTATATTTAACTTTATTTTTAAATAGATATCTTTATTATTGTATAACAATTGTTTTTTAAATTTGGAGGACTAACCCTTTATCATGAGTTCTAGATCTCCTTTTGTTTCCTATCACTTAACCACGTAGAAGTTTTTGTTTTCATATAAATATTAATTTTCATGAAGTCAAATTTTTCCAAATCACTCTCCATGATTTATAAGACTAAATAAAATTAGAAAGAAGCAATGAATTGAAGAGCTGGTTCTTTGAAAGAATAAACAAAATAGACAAACCCCTAGGCAATCTTAACAAAAAAATGAAAGAAAAGACCCAAATCAAAACAGTTAGAAATGATAATGTACCCCACTGAAATCCAGAAGATTATTAGTACTTTGAGAATCTGTACTCTTAACAAATTGGAGAATTAGAGGATATGGATAGGTTCCTAGATACATAGGATTGATTACCAAAACTGGACCAAGAATATATAAAACCCTGAACAGTCTAGTAACAGGCAATGAAATTGAAGAAGTAATAACAAAGCTACCAAGAAAGCTCAGGTTCTGATGAATTCACTCTCAAATTCTACAGGAACTTTAGGGAAGACCTAATGGTAATATTCCTCAAATTCTTTAATGAAATTGAAAGGGGAGGAGTACTCCCAAGAGTTATTCCTAGAAGTTTAGCATTACCCTGATTCCAAACCCAGTAAAGGACCCAAACAAAAAAAGAGAACTACAGGCCAATCTCTTTAATCAGTGTAATTGCAAAAATCTTCAACAATGTACTGGCAAACATAATATTAAAAATCATCAAAAAGATTATACCAAGTAGGCTTCATCCTAGGGATATAAGCATTGTTGAACATATGCAAGTCAATAAATGTAATACATCAAATAATCAGAAACAAGGACAGAAATCACACATCTTCTCAATAGATGCAGAAAAAACCTGTGACAAAATCCAACATCTATTCATGATAAAAACCCTGAAGAAAATAGGTACAGAAGGACCAAACCTCGGTATGATAAATGGGACTTATGACAAACCAATGGCCAACATTATAATAAACTGGAGAAGCTGAAAACTTTCCCTCTAAAATCAGGAACAAGACAAAAATGTCCACTATCGACACTGCTATTCAATATAGTTCTTGAAACTTTTAGAGAAATTGGGCAAGAAAAAGAAATAAAAGGGATATGTACAGGAAAAGAAGTCAAATTATTTGTAGATGACCTGGTACTCTACATAGAGGACCCAAAAAATTCTACCAACAGACTCTCAGAATTAATACCCAAATTCAGTACTGTGGCAGGATACAAAATTAACACACAAAAATTAATACCATTCCTATATACCAATATGAACTCACTGAGAAAGAAATTAGGAGAACAGTACCATTCACAGTAGCATCAAGAAATTAAATACTTAAGAATTAACCTAACCAAGGGAAGTGGAAGACCTCTTCAGTGAATACTGTAGTACTCTGAAAAATGAACTTGAAGATGTCAGAAAGTGGAAAGATATCCCCTGTTCTGGAGGCAGAACCAATATAGTCTAAATGGCCACACTCCCAAAACTGATGTACAGACTTAATGCAATCCCAATGAGAAACCAGTAGCATTTCTCACAGAGCTAGAGAAAATAATCCAAAAATTCATACAGAACCAGAAGAGACCCAGAATAACAAAAGCAAACCTCCGTAACTGGGTCAAAGAGGAAGGCATCACAGTCCAAGACTTCAAACTATCCCAAAGCCACGGTGATAAACACAACATTGTATTGGCAAAAAACAGACATGTGGGCCAGTGGAACAGAATAGAGGATGCAGAAACATCCCCAGGCACATTCAGCTATCTGATCTTCGATAAAAGAGCCGAAAACATACAGTGGGGGAAGATAGCTTCCTTAATAAATGGTGCTGGGAAAGCTGGCTGTCTGGATGCAAAAGGTTAAAGCCAGACCCACATCTCTCACGGTGTGCTGAGCTAAAACCAAAATGGGTCAGAGACCTAGATGTTAAAGCAGAAACACCCAATCTGCTGGAAGGTAAACTTGGTGTAATTAGAATGGGGCACAGCACACTGTAAGCACGTTAGTCTGTCGTGTATCTGTTACTGCTGGTAACAGTGTCTCGGCCTTTGAGGTTGGCATCTTGCACATGGCCTGCCTGGGAAATGCATCCACATTGGGAAGGGTGGAGAATTCAGGGTTCTGTCTCCACTGTGGAGTCAAGAATCACACACGGCCCTGGCTGCTTGTCGTCTGTGACCCTGGACCTGCGTGTGGCGCTCTGTCTCCCTCTCTGGCCCCCTGTTCTTTCCCGCCTCCCGCTGAAACTGCTCACTGCTGGACTTCTCACTGGCCTGGGCACAGGGACGCCCTAAGCAGAGGAGGCTTTCTGACCAGGCCGGCCTTTTGGGCGGTGCTTTGCAGTCAGGGTTATGTGACCTTGGTGTCGTCTTCTAGTCTTACAGGCGCTCATGTAACCGCCCAGTTTACAAAGAGACTTCTGGAGGGGGAGGTTCCTGGCCTTGCCGGGTCAGCGCTGCTGCCTGCGGTGCAGCGCGCGTTCGTGTCCCTGTGCTGCCAGATGTGCGGCACCTGTGAGGGGCTGCAGGCGCTGCTTCCTTACAGTCTGCACGAGGCCGTCGCGCAGGCGCGGAGGAAGGTGAGTGCTGGAGAGCCCCCGTCCCCCGCAGACCTCCATTTCAGATACAGGCAAGGCCGCAGCGCCTCTGGATACAGTTTTCCTGGGGGAAAGGCGACTCTGGCATCACAGCACCCAGGGCACCTGAGCCTCTCCAGCCAGCATGAGGGCTTTGCACCTCCGCTCTCTCAGTGCCCACAATCCCAAGCCTGTGCAGGCGCACAGGGGCTGTGGTAGCAGAGGCCTCAGGGAAGTTAGAGCTGAGCAGTTGCAGAGAAAGCGGTTTCCTTACAGATGCTGGAGACCATGGTGCAGCAGGGGCGGGGTATGGCGCCTGTCGGTGCTTTCCTAGGTCTTGTAACCTCTGTATGTGGCTCATCTGTTAAATGGTTTGTGATAGGATGCTGAGCCAAATCATTTGCCTTGCAGTAACAATTTTGATTTTAATTATAACTTTATTAAAAAATACAAATGCAGCAAAAAAGGTCTCATGGTAAGTGCTGTCAGTAAGAAAAGTAATGTAAGTTAATCGGTTGTCTTCTAGGCAAGTTTGCCTTCAGAAGGAATCCCTACTCCAGTACTGGGTTCTCATTCTGTCTCTTCCGTGAGCCAGGGATCCCAGAACATGTAAGTATACTGTTAAAGTTGTGTGCATATTACATTTGCTGAAATAATTTAAAAATTGTTAAAATGTAATAAAATACTATGGCAAAAACATTTTATAGGAAGTAAATCTATATACACAGGTTCCGAAAAACTACAGTTCAGAAGATCTTTAGAGATTATGTGGTACGTATAACCTTTCCGACAGACTAGCAATATTTGGTATCCTTACTCTGTCATGTTTCTCCACTTTGGACTAGGAACCTTGACATACTGTAGTGTTTCCAGAACATGTGTTGGATTAGCACACTAGAAGTGGGTTAGGGTGGGCTTAGGGTTAGGGTGGAAGTGCCACATCCATCAGGGCTCTACAGCGACAGAGCCAAGGCATTCTACAGCGTTATGCATTAGACAGCAGAGGATTTCTTCAGGGAATTGACTCACATGGTGGTGGAGACTGGGAAGTCCCACAGCAGGCTGTCTGCAAGCTGGGACCCTGGGTTGCTGGTAGGGTTGCTCAGTGCAGTCCAGGACCCTGTGGGTCTGGAGGCTGAGGCCGGAGAGTCTAGACATCGATTTCCATGGGCAGGACAAGAAGAGAACATCCAGCTCCAGCAGGGGTAGCTGTTCACATTTCCCCTTATTCCACTGTCCACACTGAGGGTCAACCTGAGACTCTGCCACTGTCCTCTGGGAAAATCCTGGGGAACACACCCCAGAATAATGTTCCACCAGTGCGCTAGGGATTCCTTCCTCCAGGCAAGTTGACATCCAGTTAACCATCATTATGTCTTAAGAGAAACGAAAGATTTTAGTAGAGGTTTTGTTCACTCTTATTGATGACCTCATAGAGTCGAGTACCTTTTGTTGTTTTGCTTTCTTGAAGAAGCTGGTGTGAGACAGGCACCATGTGTTCTCTGACTCTGGTAAAATGTGTGTTCAGCCATCTGGGACAGTTAGCCAGCCTGCTCCTGCGCACTGCAAGCACCTGGTATTCCTGTGTGCCTGAGTTGGTATGAATGAGACTTCCAAAGCCCGAGGTCTTGATTAAGATTGATATGAAAAAGGTAGAAGCAGGTGTGATCTGTGAGAACTGTCAGGGTTGTGCCTTTGACACACTAGTGCTGAGCATTCTGACCTTACATTTTCCAGTGACTCTTGGAGGTTCCTTCTTCATCCCCATTTGCAGGTGATGACAGCACTGTCCAAAAGATAGGGGCTGGTGCATAGTTGGGCTGTGTGCTATGTCTCTCAGCCTGGACAGAGACTAGAGGCCCGCATGCAGTTTCTGCATGCTGCAGGTTCATATCAGTGACTGAAGCTCTGTGAGGTCCTTCTGAGGTGACTGCAGAGAAAACTGTGATCACAGAGAAGGGCAGACGGCGCTATACCTGTCCTGGTGGTCCCGGGGCCTGTGGAGACCTGAGTATGCAGTCCCAGGGCTCTCGGGTCTGTGCGGCTGACCTGTGCTCCCAGGAAACTCACCTTCCATGGGCATCACCATTCTGCAAACTGACCAAGTGAGCTTTGCCATGGACCCTCCCCAGAGCAACAGGATGCTAGAATTCAACAGCTCCAACCTTCCTGCCGTGTTGAGAAATTTGGAGTGTCTTTACGAAAGTTCAAAGGAGAATTAAAAATGAGTAGCAGAAACATTTATATGTTTTAAAAAAGAAAATACGAAGTAGTTAGGTGTTTGTATCATGCTGGATGTGCATCATGGGTTTTAGCGAGCTTCTGTAGCCATTAATCCTGTACACATACTATAATTCTCTGTCCTGTTGATGTTATCGGGAAGTTTGGTTTTATATTTTAAATCACCTAGTTTATTTCTTCGCACTGTTTAATTTATTGAACCTGTTTTTACTACCTTTTTTATGACATGTGTTGAAGCTTGTGGCCTATTCTGTTCAGTAGGCTTACTTTTCCCCCCATGCTTTGTTATCTTTGAATTGTTCTTTGATTAAGATTTGAGAATGGTAAAATTATCCTTTCTTTTTATGTCTAAAAATGTCTGTTCTTCTTCCAACCCATTCCCCCTCCCCTCGCCCAACACACACATTCTCAGTCAGAGGTGATAGTTTATCTGGGTATAAATGTTTAAGTAGAAAATTATTTTTCATCAGTATTCGAAGCTATTACTCCATTATCTTCTGAATGGGTAGAAACTGATAAATCTATTGTCATGTGTCCTTGTATTTATTCATCTTTTTATATGATGCCGGAGATTGAACTCAGGGCCTTCATAAGGTTTTGGTGTTTGCTGTATCTCTCTGAATTTATCTTAATGGTACTTTGAATGATATCATAATGGCATCTTTCCTCAATTTCTAGAAGATTTAAAAAAGATTTTAATTGACAAATAATAGTATATATTAAGGACAATGCTTTTCAATATTCTTTTTATTCTCTTGGGGCTCTAATTTTTTTCTCTGGAGAAAGTTGTGGGTCTTCTTTATATTTGTGTTCTGAGAAAAAAAAAACGTCATTCTCCCAAAGCAAAATATAAAATCCCATGGAAATAACATGGCTTAGAAAGTCAGAAAACACATTTTACAATGAAAGAAAGTACAGAAATAGTGGAAAGTTGAGAGTTGAAGGATCCAGGCAAACAGGATAACACTAGCAAATCAGAATAGATTTAAGCTTGCAGGAGAGAAGTTGTAATAAAATACTGAAAAAATGCAGTTAATGCTTGTTTCCCTCAGTGAAGGAGAATTGTTAGAACAGGAGATAAGAAGAAAGGAATTTACCATCAAAGAAACCAATTTTTTAATCTTATTTTAAAATGTCTTTTGAATAGTTTACAATCAGTGTGTGGTCTACAAATTTAATTATTGGAAGGATAAAGCTGAAACATTTTTCATTCAGGTTTTAGCATACTAAAATAACTTCTACCTTCCTTTTACCAGTTTCAGTATGGCGTGGGAAGAGAGTTTGTTAGACGATTTACTGAATTTTGCTGCTACCCCCAAAGGATTACTGCTTCTTCACAGAGCAGGTGTAATCAATGACTGTGTGACATTTATGTCCAACCAGTATGCCGAAAATCTACAGGTATGAATTACCATCTGCTGTGGGCAAGAGGAGTTTTTGAGGTTTGAAAGCCATTATTAGCATCATTCTGTTTTGTGTGCATGCAGAAGTTATTAAGCCTCAATTAAAAAGGCATATAACATTGCAATACTTGAGTTGTTTTGTTTTAGGAAAACATTAGAGCCTTGATATTGGTGTCTGTAGCTGTGTTTAGGCAGTTAATCATCCAGATGTTTTATAAATATGATATCAAACATCTGGATTTACTTACACTGGGTGGAACTTCTGGAGAAAATTACTGGGTCTAAATGTATGTATCAATGAAGATTTAAGCTTCTATGTTTTAAAAGAAGTGAAACTCTTTGTAGAGAAACTATATTTTACTGTTAGATAAAATTTATAATGTAATTTAGCCTTTCTTTGGGTAGTCAGAGCCATTAAGTTGTATTCAGTCCTTTTTGTCAAAATAAATGTGCCTAGACTTTTGGAGTTTTTAGGGACTTAGGTATGGTTTTTTAAAATTTGTTTTTAAAGTAATTTAACCACATTAACATAAATATTACCTGAAAAAACATCTGTAGATGCATCTAATTAAAAGAACTTTCAAACATAAAAATAAGAAGGAGGAGTCAGTCATACAGGATGTTAAATATATTTCACATGATGCAGTGGTGGAGGAGGTGAGGGAGAGGGGATAAAAGAGACATGGTTAAAGGAACTGTTGTTTTCATCCATTCCCGGCCTTGGCTGGGGCCAAGGGTGGCCTTTGCTCCTGTCCATTCAGAAGTGGGTTTCCTCCTGCCTTGTGTCTGGCAGCTGGTGCGTTTTGACTTGACAGCAAGTGCTCTGTTCCTTCCTCTTGCTCTCTTTAATTATGATTTTCTACTTTTGTTTAAGCTTATAAGAAAAAAGTAAGTCAGCCTTTTATTATTTTTGCCTGTGAAAACCTGTTCTTAAGTGAGATCTTCACCCTTCTTTGGTGAATAGAGTGTGTCCGTTAGTCGTGGGCTGTGACACAGGTTGGTCGGTACAGGTGTGTGCTCTCCTTTCATGCTGTCCGAATTGACCTGCAGAGTGGGGAACAGAGGCGGCTCCCGGCCTCGGCCTAGGGCATGTTTTGCTCGTCCTCCTGCTTGCGACTCCCCTGTCTCGTCCATTTCTTCCTAGTGTTGCTCCTGATTGCTGGCTCCATTCTCCCTGCCCATCTGTGTACCCCAGGCTTTCGCGTCTCCCCGTTGGGTGTGGGCTGTGCCCATGGGGAGGTAGGAGCTCTTTGCTTAGAGTCTGCAGAATGTCTCCAGGCTCTTTAGGTTGACAGGAAGTTGTGTTCGCTTTCCTAGAAGGTGAGTTTGCAGCTGCCCATGTATACCAGTTAAGGATTTAGGTATTTGTTTTTATACTTTTGAAAACGCAGAAGAAATTCAGAGGTGTGTTTCCTCTTCCTTCAAATGCTTCAGACCGTGCAGACCCAGCGTTTGCTGGAGAGCTGACCCTCCGCGGGTGAGACGCCATTTTTAATTTTCGTGCATTTTAGAATGGCCCAGTCTCACACTGTGGCCTTCGGGGCTGATGCTGTTCCCTGGGGTTCAGCAGCTTGCAGTGTAGTTTCTTCCCGTCTTCACTACAGAGATCAGGGTACCTGAGTGTGCTCTGCCCTATTCCATAGATTTTCTTTATTTAGATTCTCAGTTGTTTGGCAGTTGAGCAGTCGCAAGGTCATTTCCTTAATTTTTCAGAAGAGAAAGTTTTACACTTGTAGTGACGAGCTAGTTACTCACCGCAGTGAGGCTGGAACTCAGACTCGTGGCCGTCCCTGACAGTGTCTGTCTGTTTAGTGACCCTCTCTGACTGCTCTGATGATCCCCCCGCCCCGCACCCCACAGTGTGAACTAGGCAGCCCCGAGGCCCGTGCCCGAGTCAGCAGGGCCGGCAGGAAGGCCGGGGAGCAAGGCCCTCTTCTGCTTGTGGAGGAAGAAGCCAGGCTGGCAGGAGGCTGAGCTTCTGAGCCGTGTAGCTGCGGGAAAGTGGATTGTAAATGAGGAAAGTGGGAAGTGTAACCAGCAAAAGGGGAAGAGGAGGGCAGACTGAGAAAGACAGCACAGAGAATCGAATAAATAAACCCCCTGTTCCTCGTGGTCTTCGGTTCTTCTTTAGTTTCTTGCCCTTACAACTGACTATACAGGTTATATTTTTAAAATTGAGATTCAAACAAAGACTTTTAATAAAATGTTACAGAAACGTGAACCCTGAATGGTCCGCTCTGTTTGGGAGCCACCACTGCACCAGCCAGAGTGATGCTGGCCAGGGTGAGGAGGTGGGTCCAGTGCCTGTGTCCGTTTCCCCGAGTGGTTTGTGCCGAGCGACACTCACTGCTGTGCCTCTTTCCAGGCCCTGTGTGGGATTCCTCATCAGAGAGGGCGCTCATCCAGCTGCTATATTAAGGACTAGGACTCTGTGCACACGAATGCACGCACACACTGTTCCCTGCCTTAGGAACATGCCTTCTAGAATAGTCACCTGGAGAAGAAGCCATTATTATTTTTTAAAGTTGTTTGATTAGTTGAGAATCTAATTAAGAAACTGGCATTTAATAGAGATTTATTAATGATGAAAGTGATTAATGAGGAACCGACCTAAAAAGCAAGAATAGGATAATAAAATTTAAAGTTGGAAGCAATTTTACTCTCCATCTGGTCCGAGTCCCCTATTTTATATGTGACCAGAGTTAGGCCTAGACAGGTAAGTGACTTTGCTCAAGGTCAGAGCTCGGACCTGAAATAAGATTGTCAAAAATACCACATTGGTGCACACTTGTTGATTATTAGAGTCTTAGCTTGTTTTTGCTGCTGCACTTAATTGTCTTATAGACTGTCTAATATTCTAATCTAAGAACAGCAGTAACTCTAAAGTAAGACGGATGAAGCAGCATGCTTTTTTCTGTTCCTCGTTGATGTTAGGTCAGCAGGCAGAAGAAGGTGGGCTATGGAGTTTTAGTGACGCAGGTGGCGTCCACAGCAGCAGGTGCGGCAGTGCTACGAGATTCAGGTAGGTATCTTCCCTTGTTTAAAAGTAAAATAAAACAAGCAGACAGTGGAAAGCTTGCCTGGCACAATAAAGTATCAGATACTTAATCTCGCGTTCTTTTACTCACGTTGAACCTTGTGCAAAAGAAAGTTAGAGAGTTTTGTTTTTGCCTTTGTCTTTCGTGAAATTCTGCTGGGGTTTTCCCCCTATGAAGTACACAGGTCCTGCAGTGATGGCGCATGCCAAAGGGGACAGAAACTCGTGTGGAGCCTGAAGCATCCTTCCCCCGCATCCTGTCTCTACCCTGCCACCCCTAGGCTGGCCTGAGCGCTCTGTTCAGATGCTCACCATGGCCGTATTCCCTTCCTTCCCTCTCTTCCTGACAGACTGTCTCACCCCTTTGTGTTCACAGTGACTTGGGAGTGTGCAGAACTTTTTCTCTGGGGTCAGTCGGGTTTAAGATGCTCGAAGCTGGGTGAATATGCCACATGTCAAGGCTTCCTGGGCACGGCCCAGGGTGCCGCTGCTAACAGAGGTGTGGGGTTACATTCATAAGCCCAGTGACCTGAGTAGTCACTACTGCTTCTCTCTCTAAGTGAAAGTCTTTTTCTGTTTTGTATCTTAAATTTAATTTTTGCCTGAACTAATTTGAACCACTTGTATAATGAAACACGTTTTTTTGACAAAACTTGCCCTAAACTGAAGGACTTGTGTTTCTTCTATTTAGAATAATATAATCGAAGGATTTCCAGGCTAGTTCGAACCTCATATCTTACCCTTGGTGAAGTCATTAACTTCCTCATACTATGGAAACTTTTCACAAAGTGGTTAAATATGGCTTTCCATAGGCCAGAAGGGGGAAGACATCCAATGGTATCTTGAATAATAAGAGGACATATACATGCATCATCCCACTTATATTTTGTGGCAGCCCTGTAATTATTATTTCCCTTTTCAAATGGGAAAATCACGATATTTTCCCCAAAATTTCGTGGTTCATAAATTGAAAAATGTGGAATTTGAACCCTGATAGTCTTGTTTTTAGAGTCTGTATTTTTCTGTTTTATCAGAGGACTCTTATTGTTCTAATATTATTATGAACTTACTGATTTTATGATTGGATGTTATGTTTTTATACTTTTTTTTTTCTTTTTGTACCGGGGATCGAACTCGGGTCCTTGTGCTTGCGCAGCAGGTGGCGAAACCACTGAGCTAAATCCCCGGCCCATGTTTTTACACTTTTGTGTATGATTTGATTTTTTTCAAGGAGGAATTTGATAATCAGGTTAATATTCATTTTCACTTAGGCATGTAGCTTTTGACTCATGAGATCGCACTGAAGCAGAAGTTGTATGAAATGCAGCATTGTGTTGAGCATGTGGAAGTGTGTGTGTAAGAGAACACACCCACTGTGCTGTTGTTCGGACACCCACCTGCTTCTGGGTGCTTCCTTCTCTCCTCCCCCTGCCCATGACACAGCCGGACACCTCATGATGCCTTTGCTGCTGACCCACTGCAGAGCAAAATGTAAATTTTATTGTTTTTTTAGAAGAACTTATTCATAGAAGCTGTTGGCCAAAGGGTAAAATCCTGGACTCAAAATTCAGCACTCCTGCAGGGAAGGGGTTTCTCTGGTTTGCTCACTAGGTTTCATGGTGACGGGGATCACAAAGCAATAGCAGCTTTGTTCGCACAAAGGCTTTCTCATGGAAGACGCGTGTGTCGCCTGCGGTGAGCGTGGACCAGCGTTTTCTCAGGGAGAACTGCATCCTTTGCTCTGTAATCCAGAGGGATTCTACTGTGCACATGACGTGAGCTCTTTCCTCCTAGGCTTTGTTAGTGCCCTCGTCGCTGGACTGTGGTCCAGTCTGGAGTGTGGAGGCGAAGACACGATGGTGAACCACCCCCGGCCTACGCCAGTGGAGCCTATCGACCGCAGCTGCCAGAAGGTGAGGGCCGCTCGACTCACAGGCAGTGTGCAGACGTGACGCGTGCCCCTTGGGAGCAGCCTGTGCTGGCCTTGTCCACGGTCAGTTACAGCCGCTCTCTGAACTGCCTTCTCTTTGTTAATCCTAATTTTTTCAGTTTTTTCAAAATAAATTTAGTGAGCAATGGAAATACCAATATTCCTTGGGAGTATTTTACAGGGTGCTTGCCTTTCACATTATTTTTACTAGTTTTTCTCCCTGCATAAAGAGTATGGTAATAACTTCCCAGACATATTAGAAAAAACAGATCTCTGAACCAAACAAAAATGCGGGTAGCGTTCTGACCTTGGGCTTGAATCTAAGAGAACAGAGCGAGGATCTGGGGAGAGTAAAGACATTGTCATTTAGGATAATGCACCTGACATTCTTCCAAGCACCCATGCAATCTTTTATTATAACGCAGGGGCTTTTATAGATCTTTAACATTTTCTCTGGGTTTCGCCACAATTAAGTGATGATTTCTAACTTTGACTTTGTAGTAGTTTGGGCCTTTTCTTCAAAAGAGTTCATAACTTTTTAAGAAAAACCCCCAGCATTTCATAGTTCCTCTTTGTGGAATAGTTCACTTCTGTAGAAAATGCAAATTTTAGAAAAACAGTTTTAAAATGAAGTGGGTAAGAGTACTGTAATCACCACAGATAGGTAGCAAATGGAAGAGAGTCTGTGTATGGATGTAGAGAACGGTGCTGCCTGACATTCTGGGTTTAGGAGAGCTTTTTGTGAGGACTGGTCTGAGGCACATCAGTGGGACTCGGGGGAGGGCCGCACAGCAGCCGGAAGCGTGCGGGTCGCAGAGAGCACCCTGCCCGCAGTGGCTGACCCCAGACTCTGCCCACACCCGGCCCTTCCACGCACTCAGGTGCAGTCTCTGCACACACGTGTCAGCACACCCAGCCCCGGGCCGCCTGAGCCCTTCCCACTGCTCTGTCCATCTCTAACGATGCCCGCCCTGGCGGAGCAGGTACAACAGCTGCCTCTGTCCTTCTTGGAGCTTTCACATCCGGATTTGATTCTCACCCAGTGTTTCATCTCCCACGAAAACCATGTTCCTGTATGCATTCTGTCTGGAGTGTCGGATGGCATTGACATCACTTCTCTGAAAACAACTCTTTCCTGGAAGGGAAAGACAGAGCTTTACCGGAGGGAGGGCGCTCAATGCCCCAGCTGCCTAGAAAGGGGGACTGTGAGGGCTAAAGAGAAAAGGACAACTGGAATTTCAAAGAAAGCATACTGGCCAGTGACAGTGCCTCGGGGCAAAGACAAAGACTCTCCGAGCTGGCCGCTATTTACTGGGTGCACACAGTAATTGGAGGGAGCGTCAGGAGACTTAGTGGGTGGGTGATCCTGTGGAGATGAGGATCTTAGGTCATGAGGATCTGAACGTGGTAAGGACAGCATTCTTAGTAGGTGGCATGAGATAGCAGGCTAATAAACAAGTCGTCTTTCCCCTGGGTGAAACCTCTCTCTTTTTTCAAATTACTACTCAGTACTCGAAGAACCAGGAAGTCTTCAGCTGATGTACTCTTGCCCTTGAGCATCACAGTATCACAGGACCATTGAGGCACAGCTGTGACAAAGGCAGAGCAGAGTTACGTTTCCACCACATGCCGTAGCTGGCTCTCGGGCACGGTGACATTGGGCCTTAGACAGCTAGAGTCATGCTGTAATTATGAAGTGACTTTCCCCGCAAATGTATGTAGCATGCTCTCAACAGAGCTTGGCCTGGCTCCCCTGGCTGCATGTCGGCCTGTGTCTTCTCCCCGTGCCTGTCCCCTCACCTGCCTGCTGGGCCGGTCCTTCCCCTGAGGACCCCCATCCCCTCTGCAGTGCCGGGGCAGTGCGGGTATTGGTTTAAATGATCTCATAGTGGGTTTGTCCGCGAGAGTGGGCAGTGACCATGACTTTATTCATTTTTAAAATTTTTAGCATCTGGCACAACTACTGATAAGCAGCTGGTGTTAAAACATTTTGAATAAATAAGTGAATAGATGGTCATTATCAATCGAAAACTTTGGGGCTTTAGGTAATTAGTTTGATGCTTTGATCTTAAAATATATTATATTTGAACTTCCATTAGTTTTCTTATTATTTCATAAAACCCTATTCTTTAGAACATTGGTAAGTAAATTTATGTTTTGTGACCATGTTATGCTTTATGCTTTTCATGGAAATGTTAATATAATTAGCCTCTGTTGTTAGCAGCACCTTACCATGCATTTTGTGGGGCCAGTGATTGCATTCAGTGCTTCCAGTTTCTGCTTCCTACAGTGTGGATTTGCATTTACCAGTGTCTTTAGAAATTCCTGTCATGTGTGAAATGGATGTGTTTTCTTCTACAAACAAGTTGCCAAGGTCTTCTGAAGTCTCTTTAAAATTCTATTCAGGTTATTTTTGTTTGGGAATACAGTTATTGAATTGTTTTCATCTAAAGTTCTGTTGAATTTGCCTAGAGCAGCATATCAGAAGTTCCCACAAGGGAACATTGTCCAAATTGTTTTCTGAGCGGGAGATTCCATAAATATGGAATTAAAATGCTAAATAATACAAAGCCCCTCAATGTAGTATTGATACATGTGATTATAAAGACCACTTATCTTTTTCCATCAAATACAGATCTATAAAAAGTTATTTTTATACTTTTCCATTGTGATGTGTGGAAAGTCACTTTAAACATAAAAGAAGGGGCTTATTTATGATAGTATCTAAATACTGCTGGATTAACATGAAGAACATTGTGAAATTTGCTTATTCAAATTATAAAGCATTTTTGGCTTGTGCTTTTTAGTCTGTATTCTCTTGACAGATTGGATTGAAGTAAAACCGTATTGCAGTCTGTTTAATCATCTTTCCAGCCAGCACCTGGTGATTATGACTGAGCAGTGCAGGGGTTACAAGGTGGCCTTGAGCCACTGTCCCTGCAGTGGTAGAGACAGAGCCCTGGCGCATCCGCTCGCTGATGGCCACTATGTCCCTTGCTTCTCTCACTGTGTCCTTCTGAGGCGGTCTCCTCTTAGGCTGGCATCCAACTTATAGATGGCAACCAGGTCCTTCCCTTTATTTAGTTGTTATTCTTTGATCATTTTAGTTACCAGAGAGATATTTGCAGTTGTGTGTAAATTATGTTTTTAGAATAGGCCAGAAATTCTATCTTCGTTTTAAGGACTATTGAGTTCTAGAGGAAAATGCGGGCACTTAAAGAAAACATAATGAGAGTTCATTTTCTATCCAGAAATACCGTTGTTACAAACCGCTGTGTAAGAAACACACTCACCATTACACTCACTGTTGTTGGTTAAGTTACACTTCATTTAGATTATGGAAGGAAATATAAAAAGGACTCTAGCTTCCAGGTTCTTAGGCAAGGAAAGAAGAACAAGGGGAACAGAGAAGTAGGAGCTAAAGGTTATATCCTGATTTCTAAGCAGTAAGCTTAGCCTGAAAGTAAGAAAATATACATTAGTTCTGCTGCCAACCTTCTGAATAAGTGATCCAGCCAAGCCACTTTAATTACCTGAACATGAAATTTTCCCATCGGTTAAATCAAATCAAAGAATGAATTAAGTGTTCTTTTTAATTTTTTCAAATTTCAGGGTTTTTTTTGAGACAAGGACTTTATGTAGTTCAGGCTGGCCTTGAACTCACTGTGTAGCCCAGACTGGCCTTGAACTCGTGGCAATCTTCCTGCCTCAGCCTCCTGAGTTCTGGGATTACAGGTGTGCACCACCACACCCGGCCCAAATTTTGGTGTTCTGATTCTAGTGAAAATTCTTAATTTGTCTGATTTGAAAATTTTTTGAGACTAGTAGTTTTTTTAAAAAAGTTGAACATGTGAAATGCTTAATAGTTAAAATGAATTAATATGATGTAACTGAAGATAAAGCTTAGGTAGAATACAGAGCTTTTAGAAGTAAATGGAGTTAACTGGAGTCTCAGAGATGCAGTGGGAAACTTTTGAAGTTAGGGAGGTGGGAAGAAGGAGGAGCTGCTAGGAGGATGAGGCAGCAGTTGGAGGAGGCCACAGGCCACCATGGTGTGTGGCTTCCTGCTGAGGAACCAGGGGTGGAAGAGGGGTGTGAGTGTGAGCCCCGAAGGCCATGGCTCTGTGAGGACAGCGCTGCAAGGTGCAGTGCGCACAGGAGTCCGGGGCCCAGAGGAAGATGGGGTGAGGATGTGGAGCCTGGAGCCCGTGGGAGGGACTTGCTAAGATTACACCAGAAAAATGAGCCAGTTTTGATGGGAAAAGCGGTGGCTTGTTCAGGTTAACAATGATATCTAGGTTAGTGGCATTTGCAGTGAATGGATTAAAAGGTAATCAGAGGTCCTCAGGGCAGGAATGTGTAGCATTTCTTATCTTGCCCTGGGTTCCCTAAGTGTTACTCTTCTGTGTTTCCTTATACATATAAGATTTAATAGCTCAGAGGGCAAGAAGGCTCCCTCCCTCCCTCCACTTTTTTGTTAGAAGCAAAGTTTTCACTGCAGAGCAGTTGGAAATGTTTCCCGATTCTCACACGCGTACGCCGTGTAGCGGTTGTTACGTCGTGCACTGTGAACCTCTGGGTTGCTGTTCACTGCCTTGCACTTCTTCTGCATGCAGGGCCCCATGTTGATCAGACTGATTGGATTCATTGACCCCAGCCCTCCTGGCCACAGAGCCTAAGATCCACGCGAATCCTCTCCTCCCCTCCCCAGTCTTTTCTAGCGCTGGTGAGCTTGCTGTCCTCCCCTGCTGGGTACGAGCTGCTGGGCCTCCAAGACCTTCCCAACCGTGCAGAGTACTCTCTCCACGAGCTCCCTACGTGTGTCACAGTGAGTCAGTCCTTTGCTTCCCATTTTCCTATTCCTATTTCCTATTTATAGATGCCTACCCTAAGATTGGGAGTAAAATAAATGTATCTTGACCAAAAATTCTTTCCTAGCCTCTAGAGGTTGAATCAGGGTTTTATCCATGGTTCACGAGTGGGAGTTTGCTCCAGAGCACCCGGCGGCCTGTGCCCACCCAGCCCAAGCCCTGCCCTCCAGCCCAGACAGCTTGGGAGAGCAGGAGTCCAGGTGGAGCAGGGTTCCAAAGCCTCACTGTGTTTAGTTACGGGCGCTGCTGTCGTGGGCTGGTGTACTTAAGAATAGTTTATATCCGAGGAGTCCAGGGTGTTTTGTTTGTTTTAATGAGCTATATATTATTGCCCCATGAGGGCAGTATATATGTACTGTATTTGTTTAATCTGAGACTTGTTTAACACTCATAAAGTTATCCAGGTGATTAACTTCAATAACCCTTTATAAGAGATATTTACTTCCCTATCTTTGGGTAAGTTTATGAATTAAACATGCATAAACTTGTATATATGCATATCAGGGTTAGTAAAGAATTATTCGACACTGGAATTCCCTATTAATCATTATTTTTTCTGGTTATTTTTCTAGTGCATTATTATTTTTATAAACACAGGTTTTGCCTTTTCAATACTTTCAAGCCATGCTAACCCTAAATATTTGAATTTTTAAAATCTCATTTGACTTTGGGAGAGATTTTTGGTAACATGTGGAATAAGATATATAAAGATGGGTACTCCATTATTAAAGCTGTAGCCTAGATTCTCTCAGTTTTCTTTTTTTCTTCTCTCTCAGTCTTCATCAGGTTTTGCAGTCATAGCTTATGCTTAGTTTTATCCCCAGGGTGTGCGGCAGAGTTGCGTACTTAGCTGTGGCCTTGCCCGTGTCTCCCACAGCACTGAGTAATGAAGGAAAGTAGGGTGTCCTGGGTGTCCGTAGCATCTCGATGCCCGGTGAATGACTATAGAAAATAATCCTGATGCCCATCATTGCTTTATAGAAATGAGCTGTGGAAAACAGAATAAGTGAGTGTTATTAATCTGGAATAGCGGCCCAAGTGTGTACTTTCTTAAGATTCTGTTTCTTTCTCAAGCCTGGTGTGTATTCAGGCCTATCTTTGCACTCAGGCCAGGATTCGTCTTCTGTTTATGCTTAAGACATTTAACTGCAAGCAGTGTCACCCTCCACTCCTGGAGGGCGTTGCATTTTAGCCCTGTGGAAGAATCGCTGGCCGCTTCCTGTCACCCCTTGAGCGCGTGCAGACAGTCCTACCAGCTGCACAGCTTATTTAACCTCTGCATTCTTTTGCTCTTCTTGTTTTGAGGCAAGGCCTTGCTGTGTAGTTCAGGCTGCCCTCGAGCTCACAGCAGCCCTCCTGCCTCAGCCTCCCGAGTGCTGGGATGACAGGCGAGTGCCGCTGCGCTGGAGGTCCGCTCATTGTCATTCCCCTGTCCCATGGTTGTGGAACTGTGTGCCCCGCTCCCTGTGGTCTCCCCGGCCTGTCCTGGACTTCTCTCTGGCATCTTTCCTCCGCCGTGAGCTCTTCCAGTTCCGTGGCCTCTCGTGGGCACAGGCAGCTCCATGCCCTGGGACGTCTCTTCCCTGCAGATCTGTTCTGAGATTCCTAGTGGAGAGTGGGCACTGAGGGCTGGTGGGCGACTTAGCCTTCGGGTTTCTGCAGCTGACGCAGTGAGTCTCCCCTCAGTGCCGGTTGTGTCCCGTTCTCCTGCACCATCCTGTCCGTCTGGGAGTCGCTGCTGCCAGTCCCTCTGCCGGCGCAGTGCTCGGCGTCCGCGTTCCTCATCGCGTTTGTCCCTCTGAGACCACCCCCCGAAGACCTCGTCTCTTGTCTGGACCACTTCAGGGAGACCCTCCCTGCTTTCGCTTTCAGCATCAAGCTCTAGGTGATCCTCACACTGAACCAAAGGGTGCTGTAGGGATGGAGACCAGCTGCGGCCGTAGGTTCTGTTGTTTAAAATCCCTGCTGGTCTCCTGGGCGCCTGGGCCTGGCCTCGCCCCCCGTGGCCCCTTTCTGTGCCCTTCACCCCGCAGGCTCTCAGGGGGCAGTTCTGGCTGCGCTGTCATCCGCCTTGGCCAGGACATCTGTCTCCTCGGCCTCTGCCCTTGGCCCCCTTTCTGGTCCCGGGGTCCTCGCAGAGCGCTCCTCGCCCCGGCAGGACCTGATAGAGGACATACGTGGTCCGGGTCCCAGACCTGGCTCTCCTCTCGTCTCCGCAGGCCTGACGAGGTGCACTTGGCCACTCCGAGCGTGCCCGGCTCTCAGGGGCCTCGCTGTGTTCAGTTTCTCACAGGCTGGACTCCCAGCGAGAAATGCAGGGTAGAGCTCTAACTCAGCGTGTTAAGTTCTCACTTTCTTCGATGGGCCGTGGGAGGAGCTCTGGCGAGCTGTGCTGAGGAGCCCGCGTGTGAGTGTGTGTGTCTGTGTGTGCGTGCACTCGTGTGCACACATGCGGGCGTTCCTCCCGTTCAGGGTTACGTAGGAGGGTGGCACGGTCAGCCCACCTCGGCCTCCACACAGTCCGGCCCTTGTGCCCACCTCTTCCTGCGCTTTGCCAGGCCCCTGCCTTTCACTGCCGCTTTGCCCTGAATTAGGAGAAACCCGTCAGCATCCCGTCAGCTTGCTGGTGACAGCCCAGTCTGTGCTGCGGTGCGGACTCTGGTTCCGCTGCGCCTGGACTACTGTGGTGAGTCCTCAGGAGTCTCCGTCCCTGACGTCCTCAGGGTGTGCTCAGGCTGGCTCTCACCATCCACTAAGTCTCGGTCTGAACAGGCTCCACCTCCCGTTCAGTCACCATGTCTTAAGGCTTTCATTCATATGCAGTGGTTCTCCCTCCCTTTCTGTTTCCAGGATGTGGACTTTTGGAGAAACTGGCTCATTTGTCTTTGTGTTGCCCTGATTCATTGTTTCATTAGCAGGTGTGAAATTATGATTCTAATTTTGCCATTCTTTTTCTATTTAATTAAATTCTTTAGTAAAAATTAATAAAAATAACCTTGCAATACAGTTATTTTTCAGGAAAAGCAGAATAAAGTCTTGACTATGGATACATTTTTAGAATAATGAATTGGGGCACTAGTTATCTCTAAAAGGGAGGTTTGAATATAATTGTTAACATTATTATTGTTATGAATCTGCTTTTTGTAGGTATATGATTAATCCAGTGCATTCAAGCAGAAACAATGAATCTGCTGGAAGATAAAATAGGTAAAACTCTTGAAGACATAGGCATAAACAAAGACTTTCTGAATGTTCCCTCAATTATATAGGAAATAATACTGGGAACCGACAACTGGGATTGTATCATTTGAAAAGCTTCTGCATAGCAAAGGAAGCAACTAGCAGGGTGAAGAGGCAGCCCACAGGATGGGGAAAACTTGCCAACCACTCTTCAGACAGGGGACTAATATCTACACTATATAAAGAACTCAAATAATTAGACCTGCCCCAGTAAGTGAATCAGTAAAAGTGGGCAGTTGGAATGAGTTCATATTTCTGAAAAGAAGAAGTGCACATTTCCAGTAAGTACGTAAAAAATATTCGGCACCGTTGGTCACTATAGAAATGCAAATCATATCAACACTGAGATTCCCATCTTACTCTAGAAAGAAGGGTCATCATCAAGGACTCAAAAAACAATAAATAGTGGTGAAATTGTGTGTGTGGGGGGGAGCCCTTTGACATTGTTTTTGGGAATATAAACTGGCACAACCACTAAGAGAATCAGCATGGAGATCCTTCAAAAAACCGAAAATAGGTATTCCATTTGGCCCAGCTATTTCCCTTCTGGGTATCTTCCTCAAAGAGTTAAAGTCATTATACTATGGGTCCATGCATACCCATGTTTCTGGTAGCACAGTTCCCAGTAACTGAATTGTGGAAGCTCCCTGTGCCGAGCCCATCAGGAGGTGAAAATGTGGCATAGATGCGCACTGGAATCCTACTCAGCCATGAGGAAGGGTACATTTTTTTAAAAGGATAAATTCGAGTCATTTGTAGGAAAATGGATGGACCTTGAGGCCATAATGGTAATTGAAACAGATCAGACACTGCAGATTAAATAGCTCATAGTTTCTCTTGTGCGAGAAACCCAAAGTGTAAATAATTTAAAAAGCAAAATGAAAGAGAGACGCTGTGCAACGGAGAGGTAGACTTTGTTGAGGGGGAGGTGGCTGGGGGATGGCGGGAGGGCCGGAAGAGAGGAATGGGGAAGTGAAGGCCCCTCCAGGTGACGTGTGCGGGTTCAGTTCCCTGATTTATCTCTCAGCAGTGAAGAGAGCATCATAAGTGCACTGAGCCAGACCCGGAGTCCTGTCTCACGTGATACTGCTTAAGCAATGAGTCTGGAAGTTACACACATGGAAGCAGGGTGTGGAGTGCTGGTGGCCGGGCCAGGGAAGGCGAGAGGGAAGAAGGCAGGTGGCAGTCAAGGGCACAAAGGCTTGCATCCACAGGATGCCCAAGCCCTGCAGATCTGCAGTAGCGTAATGCCTCCTGCTGACAGTATCCGCACGAGCAGTGTGCTGAGTAGCTGTCCAGTACTGACTGCCTTCTCTCCCTCCCTTCCTCTCCTCCCGCCTCCCTCTGCCTACCTGTCCACCCCCCAGTGCAGGTGGTACCCACAGGCTTGTTCACACCAGGCAAATGCTCTGCCACTGAGTTACATCCCCAGCCCTTCTTGTTTGATTCTGAGACAGGGTCTCTAGTTTCTGGGCTGGGTTCAAGCTTGCGATCCCCCTGACTCAGCTGCTCCAGCAGGTGTACATGACATCCCCATCACAGTGGGTGCAAAATGCAACCCCCCCCCCCGTCACAAGCCAAAATAAAACGGAAGGTGAGTTTTACAGTTCATGGAGGAGGTTGTTGCATAAATTGTGACTGGCTGCACAGGCGTCTGTTTATCTCCAAAGTCACCAAGTTGCATATATTAAATACGCACAGTACTTCCAAAGTGGTTTATGAGGAAAGATGATGCTGTTCTTATCACAGGTAACCGAGGGTTAAAGGAAACCCAAGACCCCATGGGCTGCCGCCTGGCCAGTGAGGCGCTGCCCCAGTGCTTGCTGTTACCAGCGTCCTCACTCCTCGCTGGGGCTGTCTGCAGTTGAGGCCCGGCCCTCCTGCACCCGAGGGCTCACTGCCCCGCTCCTTGTCTTGGCTTCCTAGGGTGGATGTGACAAAGTCCTGGACTGGGAGGCTTAGGACAGAACCCTTCCCGCATGTTCTGGGCCCCTGATCCTCAGCAGGTCAGCAGGGGCGGACTCCCTGGGGCTGCAGGGCAGAGCCTTCCTGCCTCTGCAGCTTCTGTTTTGAGTCTTGTTGCTGCCTAACTACTTCTGCCTCTGTGTTCAAAAGACCACCCCTCTCCTCCTCTTAAGTTCCTTTGTTTCTCTTTTGAGGACACTTATCTTGGATTTAGGGCCCAGCTGGATAATCCAGGTTGAATTTACATTAGAATCGCAAGCTTTAAACCCAGTGCGAGCAACTTAGTGATTTAGTGTGCCCCTGTCTCAAAATAAAAAATAAAGGGCTGAGAATACAGTGTAGTTTCGTGCGAAGGCCCTGGGCTCCATCCTCAAAAGTGGAAAAATGAAAGATTCTTAATTACTTCTGCAAAGACTGCTTGAAGCAGGACAGCAGTTGCAGGTCCTGGGGCATAGGGTGTGGATGTACCTTTTGGGAGGAGTTACTGTTACCCTGCGACTAGCTGCACCCCACGCAGGAACACGGCTTTCCTGTCCTTCCCTACTGTGGAAAAGCCCGAGGGCGGGCCTTGACCCGGTCACATTAGTGTGGCTCTGGGTGCTCCTGGGAGGGCGGGCCTGAGCATCTGCCTCACCCTTCCCTGCCTGTTCCTAGAAGTCTGCCGGGCCTGGCTGGCGCTCAGTGTGCAGCTATTCCAGCAGCTCCTCTGTTCTAGCCTGGGGCTCAGGCTGGCCGCCAGTGCCCAGAGCTTGTTCTCAAACCCGACAGCAAGGTGGAGAAGAACTGGGTTCCGCTGCTCCTTGCAAGGCCCAGGCTTTGGCCTCCCTGGCTGGTTGCTGGGAAGCTGCCGCCTGACCTGGGACGCTGGTTCCCGCACATGCGCGCCAGTGTACAGGCAGCGGAGCGCCCCACCGGCAGCTTCCCGGGTGCTGACGGGTCGCGGTGATCCTCATCCGGGAAGCAATCGCTCACTGTCGCTCTGTTCTCTGACGGTGCCTCAGCGCTGACCGATGGCAGAGGCCCACTCCCCTACCGGCTTGTGGGTAATGCAGGCTCTTTCCAGCCTCTACTCCTACGGACAGTAAGATCCAGACTGGAGTGGTCCTGGTGTCCAGCGGTCTGAGTCTGGCTTCTGTGGGCAGAGGAGCTGATTGCAGTTGCTCTGAGGCCCCACTGGTGAGGACAGACCTGTGGAGAGCCTTCTCAGACTACTCGGCAGCCTCTCTCTCCAGGCAGATGATCAACTCCAGGTGGTTCTGTGAAGCTGACGCTGACCTTAAACACTGGCCACCACTCAGTGCAGAGTGTCCACCTGTTTGGAGCGCGTGGCAAGCCTGGCCATCTGTCCCCGCAGAAGGCTTGCGGAAGGTCCCAGGTGCTGCCCTGGAGCTGAGGTTGGGAAGGAAGCAGGGGTGGGCTCAGGTGGGCACTCAGTGCGCTGTGCAGCTCCCCGCGTGACAGCAGCAGCCGCAGACAGCGACAGCCCGCGGAAGGGACTGTCTCTTCCTCATCCTCACAGCTCATTAACACCGTCTTAAACTCGTGCGTGCGTCAGGTGTCCTCTCGACGTTCCTGCGAGGCCCTGGAGGTGGCAAGTGTGTGCCTGTCTCAAGTATAACTGCACTGAGTTAGCTTATCCAGGAACCCAGTTTTTACATGTTTTAATTAGCCTTTCAGACATGCTTTTTGAGTTATCCACTATCTCCAACCTCTGCACAGACTCACTCCCCGCCCCTTTACTTGGTGCTGTGGTCTTGCTATCATTATTCGCGCAGTGCTCAGTGGGCTTTCCCTGACCTTACCCCCTGGCAGACTCTCCTGTGTTTTGCCCTAGTGGTCACAGAAAGCTCCAGGCGGAGGGTAGCAGGTTTCTTGGGCAGGAAAAGGAGCAGTGGAGGGACGGATCTCCCAGGCCTCCCCCACAGCAAGGTGTGCAGAGCTCTTAGAGAGTTCCAGGAACCACGCAGCAGGGGAGCTTGTGGTGCTGGAGACAGCGGGTGACAACTCGGTAGTCGGGCACTGTCTGCCCTGGCCTTCGCAGCTCTGAGATTGCTGCACCCCTGGGGTCTTGGGGACCCCAGCCCTGGGCAGTGAGTGGGCCTTAGGTAGAATCTGGCTTCTGGATGTATTTGTAAAGTCCTCAAGTGACTCAGTGTTCAACCATTTGAGCCAGAGAATATTTATCAAAATCCCAAATACCTACTAGATAAAAACACCAGATCCATTGTTTGTGCTCTGCAGTTCTAGATTTTGTGTATTTGTGAAAGTAGTTTGCATTTTTTCCAGTTTTATCATTACTTTATTAACTGTAGGAGTTGCTCACCTGTTCCAAAGTTGGATCTAAATGAGTGGCCTTGTCTTTGGCCAAATGTTAGATTGACTTTAGGAATTTGTGCAAGTCTCCATCCCCATCCAGGCCCCACCCAGACCAAGCAGTGCAGAACTGCTCAGGCTGGGTCCTCACACGTCTGTGGCTTTCCTAAACACAGCTTCCCAGGTGACTGCAGTGGAAAGATAACTGAAAATCACAAATTCAAATTCATGTTTATTGATTTAATTTTTTTGGAATGATTTACATAAAGCACAGTCTCATTCTGTATTTCAGGATATAATTGATCGACTTATCATTTTAAATTCTGAAGCTAAGATTCATTCTCTATTCAACTATGAACAATCACACATTTTTGGACTAAGGTAAGGTGCTCAATTTAACTTTAAATGTATTTTATTTGTTATAAAATGATGCATTTATTCTATATACATTGAAAAGTACTTAAAATAAGCTAATTTAAAAATTATGTTTAAAGGTAAATTTTCTCCTGTGACATTACAGACAAGCAAATTCTGGCGTCTAGGTTTGTGTGCCATAGCCTTTATCTGAGGCCGGGTTCTGTATTTTTAGTGTCTTCCATTGCTGGTTTCATGCAGGCATGTTGGGCACTGTGCCAGGAGGGCACTCAGAGTCGCCGAGGCATCCCTGTGCTGGTGTTTGAGTAGACTCCAGCCACAGTTAAGTGGTGAAAGAGGCCGAGACGTGCGTGATTTGTCTTGAGGCCTAAATTCCGCTGCCTTGGTACTGATCATTACTCTTCAGCTTTGCTTTTCCTGAGGCTTAAATCTTTCTGGTTAAGTTCGTATTCCTTGCCATTTTATGTAGCTTGTTCAAATGGGAAGTAAAGCAGAGTTGGTAGGGCTAGAGACTTAGGAAATTCTTAATCTTTTGGTCATATGTAGACATACAACAGGCTTCCCACCTGCGAGTTACTGCCTTTACAAGTTGCTGAATTAAGGAAATTTTCCACTTTCACAGGTGCATGATTCTTTCCTTCTAATAGTAGTTTTTTTTTTCCTGTCATTAAGGAGGTCTGTGATAACGCATTACCTAAGAAGTGAGGCTATTACTTTTCTGTAATGGGAGTATATTTTATGGATCTATATTTTAACATAAAAAGAGTCATTAATAGGTGAGTTTCATTTCTGGTCTTTCTAGTTCAAAGAAGGCATAAAAAAGCTGCAGCTGTTATAAGTCTTTGGGTGGTGTACCCTCTGTGTCAAAATCCGTTTTCGTATTAACTCTGAACTTTCTGTTTTGTAGCGTCAGGCACCTCATAAGCAGTGGGGAAAGCGAAGCGTGTACACAGTAGCACCTCCTTTTGCCCAGCAAGTAGGTTTCTGACTTCTGTCACCACAGAGCTCAGATTTGGACCTGCTGTTAGCGATATACCCAGTGAGCATCTCTTTTTCTTGTATATTTCTTTTACATAGTTTTCCCTAGTGTTCTTTTGGGAAAGACAACAGTAGGATTTTATGAAGTTATATAAAAAAGTAATTCAAAAGGTGAGATCTCCTGGCTGCTCGTTCCTCTTCATTGTATGCTCTGTCTCATAATACCCACATGGACTCACTGTTCTACCAGGAGTTTCCATGCGTCGCTGGCGGGTGAACACACCGTGTGAGACAGTGGTCAGCTGTGGACCCCGGGTCAGGCTGCTCAGTGTTTGCCAGGTGTATGAGGCGGGTCCTGGTCCCTCATCTGCTAAAGGGGGGCAGGTACATACTTTCCTCACAGCATTGCTGTGAGGATTATGTATGAAAAAGTAAAACAGCCTGGCACCTAGCGAGCACTATAAGAACAGTTGTAGTACAGTGGACTCTTGTCTTACAAACTCAATTCATTCCAGAGGGCTGGTTGTAACTCAAGTTGCTCAGTTTGTTCCGGAGATCTCGGAAAGAAATACATGGAGACACAGAATTTGGGTAAAATAATAAAAGTTCTACTTGCAAGCGGGCAGGACAGCCAGAAACCAGTCTGGTTAGTATGGGCATGCCCCTTTGTTCAGCGTTTCCTTTTTATATCTTTTTTAGCCGTTATCTCATGGTAGTGGTCTTTAATGTGTAAATATAATTCCAGTTCCTCTTTACAAGTCACAAACACAAGATAGGAACATATACATTGTAAATTCACCCAGCCATTGCAACTTTGTTAGGTTAATGAGGTTACTAGTTAAATAGTCAGATTACCATCACCTTAAACAACAAGAGTTACGGGACAAGCAAATCTTAAAGGAACACATTACTTATTTTGCTTCTATAACTACCTTAATATTCAATCTACGAAGTTATCTAAAACTTTTCCCAATCAAGTTGAGGCTCAGGCTCTTCTACACAGCCTTCACAGGCAGATCTCAGTGTCCTTAGAGAGACACTGGCCCAGGATTTCTCAGATAGCCCCACACGGGAAAGGATGCTGACATGCTCCTTCCAGAGCTCCTTAAGGGTTAAATCTGTGTCTGAGACCATCTGGAAGCACAAGTGGCCAGTATTTGGGATGTAACTCAAGATTGTGGTCATAAGTTAAAACTAAAATTCTGGTCATAACCCAAGTTGTTCATATGTCAGGCTGGTTGTAACTCGAGGGTCCACTGTAGTAGCACTTTGTGAGTTCTTGTGTGTCCACTTCCTCTATTCCATTTTTGTGTTTCACCATGAAACGTTTTTGTCTCTACTTTTTGGTATCTCAGTCATCTTCAATGTGCTGCCTAGAAATTTGCTGTGTTTATTACATCAGTGTCCAAACAGAAAATGAGAAAATTGCTTTCTGAGGAAAACTTTCTCTTAACTTCATGTGCTTTCTAACAAGTTTTTTTTTGGTAATACATTTGTTTTCATTGTGTTTTGAAATCTATTATTTCCATAATCTCCAATTCAGTTGTATCTTTCTAATACAGTTGAATACATCTGAAGTTAATTTGATCTTATGTTGCTGCTGATATTAGTCCATTAGCAGCATTGACGTCTTTTGGTGATAATTCACACTGCTTATTGCATTGTCTATGCACCAAGTGTTTCTGAGTGTTTGGAGTTCTTATCCATATCTTTCTCTTCCTCCCACAGTATTTTTGTCTGTAATGGTGTTGTTGTTGTGCCATCTTCTGGGCAGATCATCTGATGTCTATGTTCGGTGCTCCCCGCCCCATTCACTATTCATATATTTACCTCAGAACTGGGAGCTGCTGGAGAGTAAGCCTGACACAGAGGCTTCATGAAATGCAGCCTTCTACTTTGTGACAGCATCCCATTGTGTGATAAAGTCCTGACTTTTAATCCGTCAAGGTCTTCTCACAGCTTTTGCACTGGGAATGCCTCCCACCTGAGAACACAGCTCCTTGGCAGGCCTCCCCTCCTTCTCTCTCCTTGTGCTGTCCTTCTGTGTGCCCCATCCCTCTGTCTTACCACGAAAGCAGCAGAATGTGCGGACACTGCCTTGACCTCACGGCCCTGTGGGCCCTCCCTGCTCTCTGCTTCTTCTGCAAAGCCACATCTGCACCACTTGCCCTTGCTTGGTCCCCTCAGATTCCTCCTGAGCCCCCTTGCATTCATTCCACTTTGACCTCGTAACATGAGAACATCCATCCTGCTGATGTTGGGTGTTTGCAGTTCCATGTAGATAACTCAGTGCCTCCTCTGAGTCCCGTCTTACTGTAGCTGTCAGCAGGTGTTCACATGGGCACCGCTTCTTCCTGGCTGGGATGCTGTCTTTCTGTAGCTTGTGTGCTGCTGAACACCTCTAAGGGTGCAGTTTCCCTGCTCATCCACCAAACAATGCCCGTATTGCGAATAGCAAGGATGATTGCCTACACCTGGGCTTTTCCCGCACTCCTCCTATTTTCTCACTTTGCCCTTACATGTGGCCCATGTGTCAGTGCATGGCCCAGTTTCCACCACACCCCAGACTCCTCGTCCGGGTGCCCGCTCATGTATCCAGACATCGTGGTGCCCACGGCCTGGGCACACAAAGTCAATGCCCCTGAAGTGGAGTTTTCCATTCCCACACCGCCTCCCATAGAACAAACAAAATGAATGTTTTGGTTCTGTCTCATTAAGTGGCCCATCCATCTCTTTGGTTGCTTAATCCTGAAAGTCATCTTAATTTTTTCTTAGTTTTTTGAATAGCAATTTATCTTTATTATAAAGAAACTAACCAGTGTAAGAAATTAAATATAATAAATTAAGTGAAATTTCTTCTAATTCCCCAAACGTCATTATTAACATTGAAGAAAATAATTCCAGACATCTTTCTATATATATATATATATATATACAACAGAATAGAAATAACTTTTATTATTAAAAAATGGGCATTTTAGATTCTAAATTTTATAAAAAAGGTAAAAAAGGGTCTACCACCACTCCCAGTGCTGAGGAGGTGTGCTGCCTAGGTGCCAGCAGCACCCCACACCCCATCGAAATGAGAAGACACATAAACAAGCCTCAGAAACAGACTTCCAGATCACCCACAGGTACCACAAAGGAAAACAAGATGGAGCACTGATACTCAACCACCTGGACTCCTTGAATTGGCAACAAAAGGAGATCTGGAAAAAATGAAATCAGAAATAATTTCTCAGATAACAGCGGAGATTGTGCTCATAGTGCAAGACATGATTAATAAATTTAGAGAGGATCTGAGGAACATGACGAAATCCCAACACAGGAAACAAATGGAATCCATAAAACAGTTACAAACACATTTCCAGGAGATTGAAAACTCCAGGGAAAGTCTATGCAGCAGAATGAGCCAAAGTGAGGACAAAACTTCAGATATAGAAGATAAGATTGCAATTAGTGACCAGAAAAAGAAAAATTTCTTTGAAATTGTAAGAGATCACAAGAAATCAATCCAGCAGCTGCTAGACGATGGAAAGAAGAATAACATAAGACTGATTAGAATCAGTAAACAAAAAAGAGACCGTTCAGATGACATAAAAAAAAACTGTTCACAGAAATGATGGCAGAAAACTTGCCAGGCAAGGGCCAAGAACTTGACATGCAGATAAATGAGGCATATAGGAATCCAATGAGCCTTGATAAAAAAAATCTACACATAGGTATATAATAGCATTCCAGAAACCCAACAGAAGAACAAAATTCTACAAGCAATTAGAGAAAAGAAACAAATCACATACAAAGGAAATCCCATCAGAATCACAGCAGACTTCTCAATGCAAAACCTCAAGGCAAGAAGAGCTTGGAATGACTTATTCCAAGCCCTAAATGAAAACAGCCTCCAACCCAGATTGATGTACCCTGCAAAACTATCTTTCAAAATTGATGGAGAAATAAGATACTTTCATGA